AGCTATACATCCTTCATTATATTTATTATTGTCTGTCACTTGTTCTACTGTAAATAGTTTATTTGTCTCTACTTGCATCTATGTATTTTTTCCAATAAAAAACTAGTTTGTATATTACTATTTTGCTTATTATATACATTGGGGACTACATTAACTATATTTTTATCGTTTTCTTAAAGCTGATTTTCTTTTCTTTGTGTGTGGTAAAGATGGTGGACTTTTTAAACATTTTATTTTTTTTTGGCCGGGTGCAGTGGCTCATGCCTATAATCCCAGCACTTTGGGAGGCTGAGGCGGGTAGATCACCTGAGGTCAGGCATTCAAGACCAGCCTGGCCAACATGGTGAAACCCTGACTCTATTAAAAATGCAAAAAATTAGCCGGGCGTAGCGGTGGCCACCCGTAATTCCAGCTGCTCAGTAGCCTGAGGCAGGAGAATTACTTGAATCGGGAGGTGGATGTTGCAGTGAGCCGAGATTGTGCCATTGCACTCCAGCCTGGGCGACAAGAGCAAAACTCCATCTCAAAAATAAGTAAATAAATAAAATTAAGTAAAATAAAAGTTTTATTTTTTTAATTGACAAAATGGTATAGATTTACCATGTATAAAATGATGTTTCGAAATGTATGTACATTGTGAAATGGCTAAATTGGGCAAATTACCATATGAATTATCTAACATACTTGTCATTTTTGTGGTGAGAACACTTAAAATCTACTCTCTCAACATTTTTCACAATACAATATATGTTATTACTATCCTCACCAAGTTGTAGGATAGGTCTCAAGGCTGATTTTCTTGATCCTTACTTAACGGTTCACAGATATACATTCTCTAAGTCCAGGATAGAGGGAGGCCTATGGCCCAGTGGTTATGGAGTCAGGCTGACCTGGATTAGGGTCCAGGTTATGTCAGATACTTGCCGTGTGACCATAGAAAAGTTTCTTACCATCTCTGTACCTCTATCTCTTCTTTTGTAAAAATAATCATAATAAAAGTACTAACTCACAGAATTGTTATGAAGTTGAGACAGGATAATGATGCATGTACCTTAGCACAATGCCTGGCATTTATAAGCTCTCAACAAATACTAGCTCTTAAAAGTATATCTACAATGTGGGTAATATGGGTACAACACTAGACATTTATGTTTTAGTCTAGTTCCTAGAACCATTCCCAATAAAAGTTATTCCTAGTAATATTCTTTCCTTAAGGTGGGCATTTCATTAACTTTTAGCCAGTCTTAAGAAATTTCTATTTCCCAGTGCATTAAAATCATCAACTAATTAATTAATTCCGTATATACTTTTTTTTTTTTTCGTTTTTTGAGACAGAGTCTCCCTCTGTCGCCCAGGCTGGAGTGCAGTGGCATGATCTCGGCTCACTGCAACCTCTTCCTTCCAGGATCAAGCGATTCTCATGCCCCAGCCTCCCAAGTAGCTGGAATTACAAGCACATGCCACCATGCCTGGCTGATTTTTCTATTTTTAGTAGAGAAAAGGTTCATCATATTCACCATGCTGGTCTCAAACTCCTGGCCTCAAGTGATCCTCCCGCCTCGGCCTCCCAAAATGCTGGGATTACAGGCACAAGCCATTGTGCCTGGCCAGTACGTATTTTTGGGGTTCTATTATATTTAAGATCTGAGAGATTCAGTTAGCCTCAGAAGTGCATTTCATTTTCTGTGTATGGAATTTGTTTTATAGTCCTTTGACAAAAATGAAAATCCAAATTAATATGAAATGTGAAGAAACTAATAAAGACAGGGAATTAGAAAGCAAAAGGGGACCTTAAAGTTTGTCTAGTTCAGTTCTTTATTTTATAGGTGTGGAAATTGAAGCCCAGAGGAGTTAAGGTCACACAGTAAGTGGGGGAATTGCCGTGAGAGCCCAGACATTCTCATGCCTAGCCAGTATTCTGTTGACCAAATCATACTGTGTTCAAGGGTTCACTTCTTCTTTTGGCACAACATGATTTCAAAAATTAAAAACATAGAAACACAGGTTTGAAAAACACAGATAAAAACGAGCCAACGCTATTTAAAATTTATGAAGAAAGCAAGGGATGTAAGACACTTCTCTGCTGGTTGTGAAAACATCAGAACTGTGAAGTCCAGTGAGACAGGATTCCAAATGTCTTTCCTTTTTGTCTATTCTCACGAACCTGTGTTTAACAATGATACTCTACACTCACAGCAGACAGCAAACACCAGTCCTACAGGTTGGCAGTTGGCAATCCCTGGTCCACATGCCAAAGATGCTGCAGGTGCCAATTTCAGGAGGCAAGGAAACTGACTACAACACACAAATTCCCATCCCTATCATTCCCAGTAGTTATTGCCTACAGTTGTCTCCACCCTCTTGCTAGAGTTTTCAAGGGCAGCACTCTAACATGACTTCCTGTGTAGCACCAGTACCATCCTGGCCTTCTGGAATCACAGGTTCAGTCATTTGGCACACTTGTGATAAGACAATGGCCATGGACTCCTATGATAAAACATAAATAGAATTCCCATCATTTTTAATAGTAAGTGCTAAATTTCAACCCTAAATTGTTTCTTCTCTGTGATCCTAGAGCAATAGGACGTTCTCGATTATTAATATCTACTGCATAAGAATATGCTAAAAGGATGAATTGGACAAATCAAATGCACAAGAGATTCAACTTTAAAAAAATAGGCCGGGCGCAGTGGCTCACGCCTGTAATCCCAGCACTTTGGGGGGGCCGAGGTGGGTGGATCACCTGAGGTCAGGAGTTTGAGACCAGCCTGACCAACATGGTGAAATGCCCTCTCCACTAAAAATACAAAATTAGCTGATGTGGTGGTGCATGCCTGTAGTCCCAACTACTCGGGAGGCTGAGGCAGGAGAATCACTTAAACCTGGGAGACAGAAATTGCAGTGAGCCGAGATCATGCCACTGCACTCCAGACTGGGCGACAGAGCAAGACTCCATCTCAAATAAATAAATAAATAAAAAGA